TCTATATAATCACATCTAATAAACAAACTTACCCGACTAAAATACGGTTCGGAAGTAGCTCGTCGTCACAGGCCGTACCCTCGCACCCGACGATTTTAATGACCGAACGAGCACTTACGCCAAACTTCTCCCCAACTTCCGAAAATGCCCTTCGAACCACATTTTGAACCCAAACCCCAACCCTCTCGTTCCCATACAAGTACCCACCCGCCAGAATCTGACGCATCACGTCATTTTCTATCTCAACCGAGCACTCTAAACCAACCGCACTTCGTAAACACGAATTAATCTCCTCACAAACTCTCTCGGCAAGCAAATCGAAATCGACACGACCAAAAACCACCGTTTGGTCGAATTCCTCCTCCACCCATGCGGTGGCATTTTCGGAATTTTGTGACAAAATATCACCTTCGGCCGGAAGGTTTAAATCAAGACTCGATTTTGATGCTTTGCATGCTCTTTCACGATAGCCCGCAATCACGTTTTCCTCCGGAAGCTTCCTTTTGTTCGAGAAAAACGAGTTTTGGTTCGTGGGGTCATCGTTAAGATCGAACCCTATCATCATCATCTTGATCGAACCACCCTTAGCATTCAGAATATCCTCCTCGGCGTATTTATTTGATTTGTTCTCATTAGGTGCTGCTGTATGGCTTGAACTTCCAAGAAATATACAATTGCTTATATTTACTTCTTTACCCCTTAAATCGGTTAATCTCCCCTTTTTAACGGCCTGCAACAGGCTATTCTGAACCACTAGATCGGCCTCGTCGATGTACTCGAGGAACACGACTGACGGATTTCGGCTTAGCTTCTCGACCAAGAAATCGATGACTGTACCCCTCATTTTTAATTCGTATTTATTCGTCAATTGCTTGTGAAATATAGTTTCCACGCGAGTCGAGCCTTTTTGGAAGCTGAGGTCGGCATATACGAGACATTCTCTGCTTCCGTACAGGATTTCTGCTAGCGCCACGCCAAGTTTCTTCTTGCCCAACCTATCGGGCCCGCGGATGTAAATCCATAGATTCTGAGGGCCTGCAGCTTTTCGAGGTCCGGTTATTGTTTTGACAATGGCACTTATCACATCTTCTTGCTGAGAAATTCCATCTACAAGCATTTTGTAGATTGATTTGGGGTCTTTCGAATCGTGGTAAGACAAAGGTGGATGAGAAATAATCCCCAAACATAAATTTGTGCCTGCATTTGAAGAATCACTTATTCTTTTAGGTTCAGATGGGACTTCACTGGATTTACGTAAAATATCGAGACTTTTGTCGGGCTTTGGGTACATATCGAAAGAAGTAATCTTTTTTGATGAACTAGATGAGGGGTTCTTGTTTATTTGGTCCTTTGCTGATCCAGTCGAGTTTGTACTGCCGTTTTTTATCTCGTTTTCCTTTTTGCTGTCAAAAATTTGAAATCCTTTCAAGAATGTCTGACTAAAGTGATGTTTGCGGCAAATATCGTCCCATTTCTTCCCGAATGAGGTGATTTTCGCATTCAGTAACAAGCTATCATCATATTTGCCCTGCACTGAAGAAGATCGAAAATCAAGTTGCTATGACTTGTTATAGAACACCCAGTTTTCACAATTCTAGCTCAACCTTAAAATATTTGCACTAGACATATATTGTTTATGTTGATGACTAGGAACAATAGTAGTAAGACTCTTACTTTAAAGCATAAATTATATTTACTTTGTAAGAAAATAAGTATATATAGATATATAATTTTTAATATTCTTAGTTTACATTGAGGTTAGCCCGGGTCAATGTCCAGTTCAGTTTAATAAACCATTGATTTAAGTGCAAACAAAACTATTCTACTGAAAACAAAATTGAATTGAAATTTAAATTTATCAAAAAAACAGAAGTAGTTTAATTTTACAAATATTTAACTGCAAACAACTGAAAAAAAAAAAATTAGGTGACAACAGGGTAATTAAATTTTAACGAAAAGCCAAAATCCGAGCTGAAATAAAAGATTCACATTTCAAGAGTGCCAGGAAGCAAACAAACCCTTGAAGAAGGTGAACCGAAGCACGGCTGATTATACTGTTCCGCAACCGAAGCACGAGGTACTTCATTTGAAAGCCTGGCTACTTCTTGTTCGTACTTCTCGTTGCACAGGTGGCACCGGGCCAGATTTTCGCATGTGTTGCTTGAGGAATTTTTTGCCTCTGATGGCATCGAGAAGAAACCGCCAAGTGGAACAAAAGACTCCATCAAGCTGTAGTTTATATTTTTTTATTTATTTTTATATAAATTATGACATGCCACTATGAGAAGTGAGAACCCATGAATGAATTCAGTATATCAGAAATGAAAAAGTAGATTAATAAAAGAACAATCTAATGAGGAAGTTCATGCAAGTTAAGGTAAGAACTTCTTCTTAGGCTATAAATAGAAAAGGCGTAAATAAGAAATCACTACAATGATCATATTAATTCGGTCGAGTAAATTTGAAGTTAAAATACACAGTAAGTATGCAATTTGGAAGATACAAGTAAACCATAAATGAAGCTGAGTGGAAGAGAATCTTTCTTCTCGCTGTAAAAACAAAGTGGTAGAAAGAAAATTACGGTATTCTTTCACTCAGTGATCAAAGGGAGAGATTATTAGAAAGTTCATCATTCAAGGCAAGAATTGATCATCCTTTATACCCAGCGGGTCGTGGGTCTCGATTTTCTTCTAGAAATGAAACCACAAATGCAGAAAAGTGTACTTACTGCTCATCTGTGATATATTCTAACAGACTAAATTATACAAGGGAGGACAAAGAAAACAAATTTTTTATTCCATCCTAGGATAAGTGTGTTAATAACTTAGTTACATCAATGCTTATGATCATGAAAACATTACAACTGCAATAAACATGCTTCATGAGTGGACAACAGTAAAACAATGATAAGTTGATAACATAAAAACTCAATTTTAGGCAGGATGCAGTTTTCAAGAACTTGATTGCTAAAAACTAATAAGATAATGGTGTTTGAGAAAAACAAATCGACCAAAAACAAAACAAAGACAAACAATAGATTGAAGTTATACCTGGATCTGGGATTTGATCCTCCCACATCGAATTTAAATGAAGTTATGGGCAAAATCTCTAGGTCCCAATCATCTCCAATTGTAGGAAATCTCTTCAAAACCTTGTAATAAACCTCATAATTTGCAGCTGCTCCAGTTAACCACAGTTTCTCACCACAAACCTTAACCAATTTACTCAATCTTTCCACCAAAAGCCTTACACCATCAAAATTATTATTACAATCACTTCCAACATCTAATTCATTCAAATCACCAAAATTTACAACCACTTTGCAATCCCCCACCATTTTCTCCACCTCTTCAAGCTTCAGCCTCAACGGCCCATCATCAAAATCCCCATTCAGACACCTAAAAATCTCGTCTTTAACACAAACAACCCTCATCCCAGCAAAGAACCCATCCAAAAAGCTCAATCCTTTACTAATCTTCTCTAAGAAGACTTTCAATGTATCACCAGCTGAGACCCCAACAAGAAGTGGGCATCTATTTTTCTCCGTCCTCATAACCTCGCAAATCCTCCTCAAATTCTCCTCGTCCCCGGGAAAACAGCCCAAGAAGGGAAAATTGCAGAGAAATAAAGGTGGGTTCGGCCGCTTGTACCTCGAGGTACAACCGAACACCTGAGAGGGGTAGAACCCGCCGCCTGCGGCGGTCCCCTTTCTGAGCAGGGCCATTTTTATGTCGAAATTCCTAAATCCCGCCTCCCCAAAAACCCTGCTCACCAGTGGATCGTCGAGGATCGAGATTACGAGATTCTGTAACTCGACCTTCACGACGGGGATCGACGAGGAACACGCCGGCTTCTGCTGCTGGTAGAGGGTGTAGTTCTCCGGCTGCCGCCTCTGGTTCGCCTGGGACCTCTTGATGGCGGCCATCAGAGAGTTGGAGACCGGCGGCCCGCCCTCGGCCCGGTTCTGCGAGTTGGACGGCAGCCGGTCGAGGGATACCGTCAGCGAGAGCTCGAGGGCCTTGAACTGAACCCTAGCGGGACAGGCGGAAGCGCCGCCGCGCCGGGCCCTGGCGCAGGCCTCGCGCAGGGAGGAGCCCGGGAGGGAGAGGAGGGCGGAGATCATGTGGAGAGACGTTGTCTGGCCATGGCCGCGGCGGAGAGCCACCGCCACCGCCTCGTCGAGAGCCGCCGTCGCCTCCGGCGTCAGGCATTGCCTGGCTGCGGCGACAGGCGTCGGCATGAGACGTGCGCGTGTTTTTTTAAACAAGAAAACAAAAAAAATATGTTGAATTNCAGGTGTGGACTAATAATAATAATAATAATGGTGTGTGTGTTTGTGTGTGCGACTAAAGTTGATATATAATTGTTGTTTATTTGGAAGTATCATTTGGGGTAGAGAGGCTTTTTGAGTGTGATTGTGATTTTGGGGGTATTTTCAAATAATATAATAATGGTGGTGGAGATGACTCTGCAAAATCCAAGTGTCATCACTGTTGTTAGTGAGTGTGTGTGTGTGTGTGTTTGAAGTTTAGGTGTAGGGTCAATGGCATTTGGAGGGGACATCATTAGGTTATGTGTGATTGTGTGTATAGATTCGGTTGTGAAATTTCGGAATTTCATTTTTTTGTTCTTGAGAAGTTTTAATAATATTACATTCTCCTCTTTTGCTAATTTGGTAAGGTTTATTTTTGTTCAATCTTGAAAAGAAGATAGTTTTAGAACCTTGGTATGGTGGGAGTTACAATTGACATCCAATCCAAATTGATTTTAGCTTGAGAGTGATTATTGCAATTTTTTTTATCCGATCATTTTGTTTGGGATTGGATTGAACGGGATCTTCATGTTAAACTTCGTCATCTTCTTGTTGACGATTCCACGGATCTGATTAGCTAGCTAACAGTAGTCTTGGGATTTTGGATTTTTCTTATTCGAGAGTCTTGATTTGTGTTCTTAATTGTTTTGAGGTTGTTGTTTCTAGATTAATACTTTGTGGTGATTGATACTCATCAAGACATGAATGGAAGATAAGAATGAGTTATTTTGTTTACTACTTAGTTAATGGTTATTTGAGTTTATTTAGTAGTTAGTTCCTTATGTACGTGCAGTTTCCCAACAAATTTTTTTGTTTATTTAGGGAGTGATTGGATATGAATTCACCTAGTAAAAAACTGGTTATTTTTTAACTATAGTTAAGTTTGAAAAAAGGTGGTATGGTTAGTTGTTAGTGGATATATTAAAATACTGTTTAAAGTAAAATAATTAAAGTTGATTTGATGTAAAAGTAGGAGAAAATGATTGGAAGTGATAGTTAGTTAAAATTATGTGAGTAGATGAATAGTGAATTAAAGTTGATGTGATGTGTAAGAATGATTTGGTGATATTATTTAATTATATTGAAAATATTGGAGATAGTGGAGTTGAGTTAAAGTTGAGTTAAATTTGAGTTTTGATTGAGTTTTTTACTGTAGAAATGATAGACAATCGCCCCCTTAGTAGTTAAGTTAGAATGTGACACCCAATGAAAAATTAAACCAAACCACCACACAAAGTCACAAAGAAAACATTTCATAATTTTTTTTTTATCATATAAAATAAAAGTAGTGAGATGATAATAGACAGAGAATCTAGAGAGAGATTAGTCTCATTCACGGTGGTCCACCTTTCTCCTCATGCCATTTCATTAAGGGTGGTACTATTTACTGCTCCCCATTTTACTACTCACCGTCTTTCTTGGACAATTTTATCCTTTTCATTTTTTTTAAACATCTCAGAAAAAAGTGTACGGTGAAATATTGTCAAATTCGGAAGTACGAAAATTTTTGTGTCCGGCCGCTGGAACTGAATGGTTTATGCCGTCCGAAAAGTTCGGCCGGTCGGACGGGCTATGTCCGAACCGGCCGGCCGGACGGCTTAATAGCCGTCCGAAAACGACGGCCGGTTGGAACCGGTCCATCCGGTTCGACCGGCCGGATAATTTTTTTTTTTTAAATTATTATGTTATATATTCGAAATAATTATGTTATAAATTGGACTATATTAATATGTTATAAATTATTATGTTACATTTTAGACTTGATTATGCTATAAATTGGACGTTTATCGTGTTAGAAGTTACAAATTATTATGTTACATGTTGATTATAATATAAATTGGACGTTAGATATTATCGTGTTATGAATTAGAAATTATTATATTACATGTTAGTCTTGTTTATGTTATAAATTGACGTTAGATAGTATCTTGTTAGGAGTAACAAATTATTATGTTACATGTTATAGTTGATTATATTATAAATTGGACGTTAGATATTATCGTGATCGTGTTAGGAGTTACAAATTATTGTGTTACATGTTAGACTTCATTATGCTATAAATTGAACGTTATATAATATCATGTTATAAGTTACAAATTATTATGTTACATGCTAGAATTAATTATCTTAATTTAACATATTCTAAAAATATAAATATTGTACTATATAACAGGAGTCATGGGAAGATTTGGAGAAGATGGTGTTGATTACAGTCTGCGTTTCGATACCTGTACATTATATAATAGTGCTCAGAACGCTATTGAAGCTGCAAAACACCAGGCAATGCTGAATGATTTTCTATTAATAATTTCGAGCCACAAAAAGAAAACGGTCAGGCTTTTGAAGTGCCATAGAGGCGAAAGGTACAGAGGCACAGACGGAAATTCTAGAAAGACAAAAATGAATAAGTGCGGCTGCAATTTTGAGATCAAAGTAAAAAAGGTGTTCGGCGCTCCATACTGGAGGATCTGTAGATGTAACAATGAAGAGAAAGGCTACCATAACCATACATTTGCTGTGTATCCTGAGGGTCATCGCTAGTTGAGCGGCCTCAGCGCTTCATCTAAGAAAATTGTTCGTGATATGACGGACGCTCAGGTGGCCCCGGCAAAAATTATGGCCGCGCTGAAGGAAAATAATCCGGGAGACAACGTTCATGTGCGACAGGTATATATATTTATATCTTGTAATATATGTTTTAATTAGCTTTTTGAAGTTAATTATGATAATTAGTAATTTTTTACATGTAAAAGTTATTGTAATAATTAATAAATTTTATTATATTTACTAATGTATTATTATTGTGATAGTTAAATTTTTTTTTTTTATCAAATTAATCGCATTAATATACTTTTTTATTTATTAACATAATATATTTTTTTTAAATTATAATAATCATTATAATTAACGCTAATCGGTGACAGGTATATAACTTTAGAGATAAGCTGCGGAAAGAGAGTTTCTACGGTATAGACGTTCCTTTCCAGCTTATGCATTTGGCCGTGAGCAGCGAGTATACAGTTTATGCAGAATCCGATCAGAACACAAAAGCGTTGACGGATATATTCATGGCCCATCCTGCGTCGATCAATCTATTCCGGACATATCACTGGTATGTCGGCATAGATTCCACGTATAAAACCAACATGTATGTTACTTTATAAATACTTTATTAGTATGAATCTTAAATAGTGTGTTTGATTAAGTAAACTTTTATTTGATTATATTTTTTGTCTTCTTGGTCTCATTTGCACAGGTACAAGATGCCGTTGGTCGAGATGATTGGGATGACACCGTGCAACCAGAACTTCCTAATTGCGTATGCGCTCATCAGGGACGAAAAAGGGGCCAGTTACGACTGAGTTCTAGAGAAGTTGAGACTACTGATAGGCCAAGACGTATATCCTCATGTTGTTGTCAGTGACAGAGAGTTGGGTTTACTCACTCCTATTCAGAGGCATTTTCCTGAATCAGCCCACTTACTCTGCACGTGGCATATCAACAAGGATGTGGAAAATAAAGCCTACAAACTATTTGGGAAGAGTAAAAAATTCTCGGAGATTTTCACGCACAGTACGTGGAAGGTGATTGCAGAGGCCAGTACGCTCGATGCCTACACCGATGTCGTTGCCGAGCTGCATGCAAAATATTCGAAGTCTCCAGAGGTGATACGGTATGTGGAGAGCACATGGTTAGGGCACCGCGAGAAGTTTGTGAAGGCTTGGACCAACCGAGTGACACATTTTGGAAACACAACTTCCTGTAGGGTGGAGAGTGCCCACTCTGTGCTGAAGGAGTGACTTCAGACGTCCACCGGCGCGCTCGATACAATTTGGCAGAAGATTAATAAGCACATCGATAATCAAGTGACTGAAATCAAGTACGTACTGCAATTTTTAAATGCGTTATTATATTACTGCATTAATTAATTATAATCTAACGTTATATAACGTATTATCAGGACGGCGCTTGAGGCCTCGAGATCGAAGAAGAATACACGGTATAAGGGAATCCTTTTCGCGAGCGTGATACTGAGGGTCTCGCATTACTGTCTGAGTTTATTGGACGCTGAGGTTACGAGGATGAACGGCTTGGACGCCGATGTTTACACTAGCTGCGGCTGTGTATTGCAGCTCACTCATAGACTTCCTTGTGCCTGTCTGCTCCGCAACGCAGTTGATTTCAACATTCCGATTGATCTCGGAATGATTCACCAGTTCTGGAGAACGCTACAGATATTAGAGTTATTATAATTATTATTATTATTATTTTTATTATTTTAATTAGAATTATTTATTATTATTATTATTATTATTATTATCATCAAAAAGAAAAAAATTAAAAACCTGTTCGGCCGGCTCGTCACTGGCCGGCAGTTCCGGACGGTTTTTCGGCCGTCCGGAACCGGACAACTTTTGGGCCATCCGGAACCGACGACCGGACGGTTTTTCGGCCGTCCGGAACCGATGACCGGACGGCCGCCGTCCGTCCGGAAGCGACGGCCGGTCAGTTTCAAATTTTTTTTTTTTAAATTTTCCGGCGTAAAAAAAAATAAAAATTTACCTTGCTAGAGAACAATGTTTTGCCGAGGTCGTAGGATTTTTTCGACATTTTTTCGGATTTTTTTCGGTGCTCGAATCGCTCGTTGAAAGTTCGAGAATTTAGAGAGATAGAAAGTTTAGAGAGATAAGGGTTAAGGGCAAAAGAGTAAATGGGGAGCGGTGACTAGTAAAAGAGGGCGGTAAATAGCAATTGAGTNCCTATTGGAGGATATTAGTTCACACGTTTACATCTTGCTTAAAGAGAACAAATTGACTCCTCAATTAATCCATGTGACAATGAAGATAAACCCTAAAGTTTGTCAAGTCACTACCCAAAAATAGCTTAGAATTATCAATAAATCTCTAGGGAGTTCATGAACCAATAATTTAAAAGAAAAACATGTTCGAAATAGAGATGAAAAGGTAAAAATTAAAAAAATTGTGTTAGAAAAACTGAGGTAAATTTGAGATTATGAATGAAAATAATTGATGTCGATGTGATTTAAAAATAATAAAATATTAATTGATAAGATCGGTGATTGAATTATGTAAGCAGATAAATAATGTTGACATGATGGGAATATATAATTAATATTACTTTTTTTAATTGAGTTAGTAAAATTATAGAGAAAAAAATAAGATGAAATAAATAGTTACTGAAATACAAATTGTTTATTTTATTTTCAAAGAGATAAATCTCGACTAAACACAGTAAAAATACTGTAGACATCAAAATTTTAATATTTTATTAATTAATGTCTTTATTTATTTATGTACATAATTTTAAGATAAATAAGATATTTAATTACTAAAATAAATATTTCTTACCCACCAAGTCAAATCTTAGGATAAGGAAAGAGATTATATCAAATCTTACGATAACTAAAGAGATTATATCAAATCATGAAGGATCAATCAAATTGATGTCTTCTTTTCCAAGACTCTCTCTCCTAGACCTATAAATAGGGTTCTCCTCAATGTCACAAATCACACCTCAAATACCTAAGACACCTCAATAAATCTGCACCTCATAATTTATATTCAAATTCAAGAGCTCTAGAGAATTCTCTCGACGAGATTCAAGTGTTCGTGAAGATTCAAAGGCGTTCTTGAAGATTCGAAGCAAGATTCAAGCGCGTTCAACCTCAAGACTGGCGTTTAATCCGGAAACAAGCTGCGAAGCCTCCGAATAACGTTAGTAAATTCAAAACCGGCGTGGAGAAGATTCAAAATCTACTTTACGGCGAAGACCAAAGATTCGTGTTCTTCGCGTTCTTGGGATATTTCGACGTTTGATTCGAAATCAAGGCGTTGGCCCTCGGATTAACGTTAATTCAAGTCAAATCAAGTCAAGAAGAAGATCAAGTCAAAGATTTCGCTCCAAGACTTAAAATTGTTCGTGAGAAGAATCAGAGGAATAATAGAGATTGTAACCCGCTATATTTATTTTGATTCGAGAAATTCATTTGAATAATATTTTTCGTGTTTATAAATTCAATACACGAAATTTGTTGTTACAAATCGAAATAAAATTTGTTACAAATACATTAGATTTTTCACAAAAGTCTACTCTATCTGAGAGTTTTTTAACGGTTTAATGATTTGATTTTATATTGACATGCATCGATATAAAAAATATATGTAGTTCTCTCATATATAATTGCAGAATGTATTGAGTCTAAGTGACAGATTCTCATGCTTAAATTCTATGTGACAAAAAATTATGTTTTGGAGTCAGACTTTGACATAAATTAATTTTTTTTATAGAAAAATAATTAGGCTTGAATTTCATTTAAAGTCTATATTTTTCATATTAAATCCGTATTGATATTTTTCTTCTTTTCTTCTACAATTAGTTATCATAAATATTTTATGTCTCTTTTTCCTACATTACCACATAATCCATTTTATTTTCTTATTTAATTCATACATCAATTATTATAAAATGTTTCTTCTTCTTATTTTTAAAATTAATAACTTTTTTATTTGTATTTTTTTTCATATAGGATATATCAAATTATTTATCTTTCAACGATCTTCAATTTGACATTCATATTATATATATATAATACAAACAATGATATATATGCTTAAAAATAAAATTTAAATTTATTTATCAAGTTGAATTAAAAAATATTAAATAAAATTATAAATTATCTTAAAAAGTAATAGATATTTATGTGTATTAACATATCATAAATAATTATTTTTCTTGGAAAAAAATATGTAAAGTAAGTATGAACATCACCTTAATATAAAAAAAAATTCTAAAAGTTTATGTCTTAACTTAAATAAGAATACATAGAGAATAAACATTATAATTAGAATAATAAAAATAATTATTATATTTCATAAATTTTAATCTTAGACATATTATATTTAAAATTATTGAATATTATAAAGTTTAAGTTAATTTAAAAAATATTAGATGAGGGAAGAAAACTGTATAACACGGGCGTTGTACAAGTGTATTATTAATCGTCAAATTTAAATGGAACTTGTATGAGAAGATGACAATTTGTATTGTTATATTTACATGATTTTCTTTTCCTTCAAATGAAATATGACCTATATAAAAATCAAATTTGAACATTTAAAATTCAAATCCCACAATTTGAACGAAAAACCGTTCAGGTTGTTCTCGTCCCAAATCAGGGGCCCATGATTTCGGGCTTTCGTACAACGGGCTCAACTTTTCAGGCCGGAAGGCCCACCCGGCCCGAACTAAACGCGCTACTGTTAATGCTACATTGTGATTCTTCTCAATCATTTTCCTAGAACATTTGTTTATGGCTTCTCATTTTTCAAAGGGGTAAAGCAGTGGTCCCTTTACAGAATAACCTGGAAGTGGGATATGTTCGATTCTATGCTCAGTTAACTTTTGATTGAATAATTTGCATNAAAAACAAGAAAAGAAAGAAAGAAAAAAATAGTCAATAGACTACAACTTTTTAGAAAAACAAATGCATATTTATGATATGAAATATCTTTATTTATTTATAATATTTTTAAATTAATGTATTTCAGTTTAAAATCATAACAACTATTAAAAAATATATGATTGATTTAACCGTTTGAACTGTCTATTGTTTAATACTAATAATAGTCACATAGCTGACAAAAAGGTAAGAAGGTAAAAACATGTGACTAGGGCCGTACACGAGTCGAGCGGCTTGCGAGCCACTCGCGAGCGCTCGAATAAAAGCTCGATTCGAGCTCGAGTTTGACCGAACTCGAGTCAAGCTCGAGCGGCTCGAAGCCATATTTACATTGTCGAGCAGCTCGCGAGCGGCACAATATATATATTAAATTACTAAAATACCCCTTTTATATATACAATTTGACAAATTTGTTTGAAAATTTTTGAACCGAACTGTTGATATGGCTCATATATTGACAAAGGAAGGAGGCAGGCCGTGGACGTAGGCATATTGCCGAACTACGTAAATCTTGTGTCAATTTAATTTCTCGTCTTTAATTCGTATTGTTCTCGTTTCACAACACGAACTCAAGCCGAGCTCGAGCATTTGTATTCTAGTCGAGCTCGAGCCAAGCTCGAGCTATTATATTTTCTTATCGAGTCGAGCTCGAACTTGAGCTCGAGCAGCTTAAAAAAAAAAATCAATCCTGCTCGATAAGGCCAATGCTCGACTCGGCTCGGCTCGTTTGCAGCCCTACAAGTGACCAATCAATGAATTATTGTTGGAAAAATTACAGTTTTGGTTTACCGACTTAGTGTATTTTTCATTTTTGTCCAGTAATTTTTTGGAGTCTGAAATTAGTCCAATAGTTCTTTAACTTTAGCCAATTTGGTTCAATTCTGATTCCTAACCCCGAAATCTAACAGTTATTTGATCCAAAATTGATTTAATATAACTCTTAAATTTAAGAGTTATTAGACCATATTGGATAAAATTAAAGAGTTATTGTACCAATTTCAGAACCTAAAACATTACTAACAGAAAAAGAAAAAACTCGAAGTTAGCGGATTAAAACTGCAATTTTCTCAATCATTTTCTCGGCTTTGGAAATGGCTAAATGCAAGTCGGCATGTAAACGAGTAGAGCTGAGCCGAGCTCGAGCTTAGGTTAACGATCCGATCTCAAGTTTTAATGAACCAAATTATAAAAAATTATATAAAAATTTTTATTTTTGAATCCTAACGAACCGAGTTCGAGTCGAATCGAACAAGCCAGTAAATGCTGGTATTCACTCAATTGCATACCAAATTTTCACACAGATTAATGTACATGACAAGGTAGGCCCCACTAATGCAAGTTGGGGTGCCCAAAGGTTGAAAAATGCCAAAATTGGTAGAACAATTTTGATTTGTTTGTGTGAATAAGTGGTTTGCTGTTTTTCAGAATCTTGTGTAGGATCTCTTCAGCGATTTGATCATGGATTGTGGAGTTGACGTTGTACAGTGAAAATCTGATTAATATGGTAATTATAAT